ACATTTAGGGATACAGCACAGTTACATTCATTGTTGGGATCATGTACCTTTACATGGCAAGTCTTGATTCTCATTTTTTTCCCCTTACCTCTGCCCTCCCTTCACCCCCTCCTCCCCTCCCCATCTACAAGGACTGACTTTTGAAGAGAATAACTCAAAAGTCCTCTACATATATTCTCTGATATCATTTACATGGATTCATCTCTTCTATTTTCTTTAGTTTCCCTTCATATTTAAGCAATTATTTTTGTAAAACACTGTTTGGATGAGTTAGAAAGTATAACTGAAAAAAAATTTCATTTCATATAAAAAAATCTACATCTGATGTAGGTAAAATAAATGTAAAAATAACCAAATTTTGAACAGAGAGTATATACTTCATTTTATACAATTAATGTAATGCTTAAAATTCTAGATTAACTCAAATTTTATAAATTTCATCCTCAATTTAATCTTTAAATTAATTTGGATTTTAATTTCACAACATTTATTTAATCAATTATTTATAGACAATAGTCCCTCACATATTTCAGTTTAATCTTCCTATTTTATTTTTTAATTTTCATTTTAGTGTATTACAACTAGATATTAATAAAGAAAATATAGAAGTTATATGAAAAATAATTTTTCATAACAAAAATTATTAGAGAATAACTATGGTAAATACACTGTGTATCATGATCTTGAAAGGATATATTTTAATTTGCTAATCTATCTCAGCTCATTTCCTAATAATGCTGCACTTTTTTGCATAGAAAATTTTAAATATTGACAAACTATCTCACATTCTGTGTAATTTTGAACAATTTCTTTCTATTTCACAGTATTTATTATTCTTTTAGGTCCTTATTTTCACTTTTCAGTTTCTCACACCAGAGAGACAATGTGATATTTATGCATGTGTGTTCAATTTATATCACTTAAGAGTATATCCTTAAAGTACATCCATTTTCCCAGAAATATCTCAAGTTTATCCTTTTTTGTCTGACTATAGGGCAATGAAATTGGAAATCAACAGCAAAAGAAACCACAAAAACTGCGTAAACACACGGAAATTAACATCTTCCTGAACCACCAATGAGTCACACATGAAATTAAAGAAGAAATTAAACAGTATATACAATTAAATGATAATGCCAATACAACATACTGAAACCTATGGGGCACAATGAAAGCAGTCTTAAGAGGAAAATTTATAGCAGTAAATTCTCACATCAGGAAAACAGAACAAGCTTAAATAAGCAACCTGATATTGAACATCCGTGTCTAGGAAAAGAATAAGTCAAGCCCAAAGCTCTTACAAGGGAGGAAATTATAAAGATCAGAGCAGAAATTAATGCAATTGAGACTAAAAAAATAATAAAAGAATCAATGAATCCAAGAATTGGTTCTTTGAAAGATTAAATAAAATTGATAAACCTTTAGCCAATCTGATCAAAAAAAGGAAAGATTCAGATTCATGCAATTAGGAATGAAAAGGGTAAAATCACAAGAGATCCTATAGAAATTCAGAAGATCTCCTATATCTACTTCAAGAACCTCTACTCTAATAAGCTGGAAAACACAGAAGAAATGGACAGATTCCTAGATACATGTGAATTACCAAAGATGAATCATGAAGATAAAAAAAATTCTAAATAACCCAATATCAATCAATGAAGTTGAAGATATCCTACCAACAAAAAAAAAGCCCACATCCTGCTGAATTCTAAAAGACATTTAGAGAAAAATCTAATGTCACTACTCTTCAAACTCTTCAGTGAAATTGAAAGGGAAACAATACTCCCAAAATCATTCCTGGAGGTAAGTAGTACCCTGATGCTAAAACCAGAGAAAGACTCAACCAAAAAAGAGAAATATAGGCTAATCTCCCTGATGATCATAGGTGCAAAAATCCTCAATAACATAGTGGCAAACAGAATACAGCAAATCATGAAAAAGATTATACACCCTGATCAAGTAGGATTCATCTCAGGGATTCAGAGATGGTTCAACATATGCAAATCAATAAATATTATACACCATACCAACAGAATCAAAGGCAGAAATCACATGATCATCTCAATACATGCTGAAAAAGCATTTGACAAAATCCAACACCCACTCATAATAAAGACTCTACAGAAAATTGGAATAGATGATCTTTATCTCAATCTGATAAAAGCCATCTATGACAAACTAACAGCCAATATCATACTAAATGGTCAAAAATGAAAAGTTTTCCCTCTAAAATCAGGAACAAGGCTGTCCACTGTCACCATGTTCAATATAGTTCTGGAAACATTAGCCAGACCAATCAGACAAGAGAAAGAAATAAAAAGAATAAAGATGGGAAAGGAAAAAGTTAAATTATCATCATTTGTGGATGACATGATACTTTACATAGAACACCCCAAAAATTCCACCAAAAGACTGGTAGATTTAATTACCAAATTCTGCAGCATAGCTGGACATAAAATCAGCACTCAAAAATCAATAGCCTTCCTGTACACAAATAACAAACTCGCAGAGAGAACTTAGTGAAACAATACTTTTCACAGTAGCATAAAAAATGAAATATTTAGGAATCAATTTCACATTGATAATTTTCCTATTTTATAAGCTATAGTCTATATCAATGATGGTGAGCCTTTTATAGAAAAGTGCACAACCCAAACTTATTTATTGTAAAGTGACAACTCTTGAATACTGAGGTTTTAGTTTAGAAAAATCAACTCATATATTAACATCTGTTGGCTCAAAAACAAACAGCACATATGCCATAACTTGCCACTACTGGTCTATATAAACATGTACAAATGTGTTTACTGTTTTTAAAAGTCTACTGTGCCTTTAAAAGAAATAATACCTTGATTCATTTATAATTGTTATGATAAAATTCATGTTTTATATTGTTTTCCATAATTTTCTTAAAAACTACACAAAGTAGTATGAAAGAAAAATCAATGAAGCAAGAGTTGCCTGATCAGGAAAATAAAAATTAATGAGTGAGTAAAGTAGGACTTTTTATTCAGACTTTGAGAAACTGAAAATTTATTACCCAAAGGCCACTCTATGAAATACTTATTTAAGGATATTTGACAGCAAATCAAAATGAATAAAAGAATGCAGAAGACATGGAATACCAGAGTCTTAAGAGCAAAGAATTATTTAGACTCATCCATAAGTATAACTTATTTCTCAGCTCACAAGAAATTATCAGAATGGAATATTTTAATACTTCTCTCTCTGAAATCTCCAGATATCACAGACAAAAATAAGTAAGAGTACATAGATGAACAAACAACACAACAGGAGTCTCAAGATGAGAGCTTCATGACAAAATGCCAGAGGGCTCTAGCAAAGCTGCCCCCAGCAAAAAGAACAGGTTAGTTAATTGATATATTTGACCCATTTAGGAAGAGAGTTATTACTCTTAGTTTGAGAAAACTTAGTGAAAATTGAACAGTCAGGAAAACAAAAAGTTGTAGGGAAAATAATATAACCATAGTACAGTGGCCAATAACATCTCTGTAGTAATAATTATGTGAGCACTGAATAATGTTTTAATAAGAAATTGTCCTGAAACCATATTGGAAGAATAGACAGAGAGGATGCATATGTTGAGGAGTATGTAGGGGTACAAGACATAGAAAAAGTGTAAAACAACTAAATCCTCATCTTCCCTCAGGACGACATGCCTAAAATAGATGTTGCAGTAGCGTCATGCTGTTTGGAAATGTGGAGACAGACAACAAAAGGAACAGGTACACTATTTGAAAGGAGTTGATTGTAGAATGAAGGCTTTCCAGGGAGCTGCTATTTTCCATTATAACTTGTAGGATATTTGGACTTTCAAACACATCTATTTAAAATGTTACTAAGAACAAAATTAAATAAGTAAATAATCAAAAGTGCATATAATCTGAAAAATCAATTGACTACTGATAACTAGTTATTGTAGGACATGAAATGTAACACAGTTAACTGAAAATCAAATACAATGGGGACAGCACAAATATTTAGTGAGATACTAAGTCAGAAAGCAATAGGCTTTGTCCAACTTGACATGTCCATATTTTTATGTTATAAAAATATTTTTAAACATCTTACATGAATTAAAAGTTATAGAATTTGTCACTGATTTACTACCAGTATGTTTTACAGTCATTTTAACTCTAAGTCTTAATGTATTGTGAAACAAGAATAACAATAACACCAATCTGCTTGATACTCGGAAAGAGCTTGATGAACATTGGCTATAATTATTGTGTATCAGTAATGTAACATTAACCTAGATTTTTTTCAATATAGAATATATTTTTAAATTCTTGACAAAAATGATTTTTACATTTATGTCCTATTGCTTTGGACAATATTTACAGTTATTATTGAGTTCATTTGCAGTTAATAATTGATACTGGCTAGTAGAATTCAATCATTATGGATGATGTTGACACCAAACTAGTAATTTCCTATTCTTGATGTTAGCTATTCATCTAAATACATAATTGACACTGATAATAACCTACCACTGTAACTACTGAATGGAGAATTTTAACCTGTACTTAATTATGGAAAAATAATTTTTGCTTACTTTTTATTTATGGTTCCTTTCCTCTTCTTTCTGTTTTCCAGATTTTATATAGATGACAAAGACTTTGAAGTCAAAGGAGACTCACATTCACAGTGCAAGTTCCCTAACAGATCACATCAACCAAAGGAAAAGCACTAGTGAAAGCCAAGATGCAACTCCAGGTGGGTGCCACTCCTTACCTAAAATGTGTCAGAGTCATGTGTTTTATGTATTCAGATCTGTGCCACACTGAAAGGAAGAAACATGAGAGTTTGCTGTGAACTGTGTTGTCTTAACAATTTATTGTTGATCATAACAATCCTGATAATAACTCAGTGAAAGAAGTTACATTAGGCCCAACAAATGGCAGAAATATGGGTCCAACTAGGATTCAAAGTTGATAGATATTCTTTTTACCATTCTGTCCTCTGTAACAGGCTATTCTAGTAAGTGCCTTCCTATAAAATATTGTTTTATATTGTGTGTTATTTTTTGTAGCTTTTTAGGCCTGCCATATTTTCTTATACACATGCTCATATGTGCTAGTTCCCAGCCAAAAAAATTGAGTCTATCTAATTTTGCTCATTTACTCTGTCAGGAATGATCAAACTTTTTCTGTAAATGGATAGTTAATAAGTTTCTGTTGCAATCACTTACCTTTGACAGATACAGACAATATGTAAATGTATAGGTGAGCACAACAACGTTTCAATAAAACTTTATTAATAAAGACAGACAATAACCATAGTATGGCCCAAAGACTATAGTTTGGGGCCCCATCTTGCATCATATTAAAGGCAGACATTTTTCAAGTAGTTTAGTCTTTTTAGTTTCAGAGCATTCTATTTCCTGGAATTCTCAAATTCTTCCTCATTCTATATCCAGAACTGATTTCCCAGTGACCCTCACTATGGACACCTCTATGTTACATTACAACTCAGCCTTAAAGAGAAATAAGGGTGTGAGGTAAGGACCAAAGTCTGTTCCCATTATGATGAAATTTGTATCATTAGAAGAATATTTATACAGGACCTTGGAGAAGTCAGATTTGGTGCCCCATTGTGTGTATCAGAGATGGCCCTATGATAGGAAATCTTATATAGAGGGTGGGCTTTAATTGCACAGGATAAGGACCTGGCCTCCCATGGAGGTCTCAGTTGGAACTATTGATTACATGGTAGAACAAGATAAGATTGACAACATTTGAGCCACCAGTATCTAAATTCTGCGCAGAGACTTTTGTGCCAGTCAACTACACTGATGTAACCTCCAATGCTAGCAAGTGTCTTGGTTTTAAAACCCCCCAAAACTCTACCAAATTATTAATATTGGCCTGATTTTCCTACTCTTCCTTCTTTTCTGGCATTTTTTGTTTGTTTGTTTTATATGTGTGTATAGCTATGTTAGAAACATTCTACCACCTTTCTGACTTGGCTAGAGCAGGGGGAATAGGCAGGTTGTGATTGGAATCTTAATAACCTGTCAAAACAGAGCATTTAAATCCTGTTCATGTTATTTTCTTTCTTTCCCATGGAACACAGATAGCCAAGAAGACAAATAGGGGAGGCCCCTTGGTATTCTTGCCTTGTTTGTGTGATCCTGAGGGTTTTGATGAGCTGGCCTTTGCACATTACATTGAGATTGTTCAAGCCAGCTTCAGCTGAGTCTGACTTGTTTAATGACTTGGCAAGGATCCAAGACATCGGAAATCAAAACAAAACAAAACAAAACAAAAAAGGAAAAACCCAGATCAGATCAGCATACATCCTAACAATATAATCATTCAACATCTTATCTGGTTACTTATTATAGGGTGTGCAGTGATTGAAATGGAAATAATTTACTCTGGCTACTCTCTGTTACTGTTAAATCATTTATGTGTTGTGAAAGAAATTGCAAACTGTTGAGACACAAAGATCCCCTAACTGCATTCTCCCAAGAAGTTCTCTACCACCCTCCTCTGTTCTATTTCATATTTTAAACATTTTCTTAGAATGTGAACTTTATTATCTACGTTTAAATTCAGCAAGCCTTACTTGTCTAGATAGATCACCATCAAAAAATACAGTAATGTGAAATAAAGCTACTTCTGACATTTTTATGGTATATGATATATGATATTATATGATGTATTAAGCTCTCTGTAATAATTTTTATTTTTTGAAATAGCTGATTCTTTGAAGACTGTTTAATATAGAGTTCCACAGATTTTAGTGATATCTATATGTTTCAGTTTTGTTTTAATTGAGGTTTGTGCTTTTTTGTTCTCATCAACTGTGAAGCAAACAGGAGCTTATCAAATCCTATTGGGTGACAAATCATAGGCCAAGGAAAAATTGGTTCTCAACTTATGCCCAAAGACAAATGAGATTTAATCCCTGCCTTCAAGAAGCATATGGTTTAATAAGGAGAGAAAAGGTACACACTAAACTGTAAAATGTTATAAACTTAATAAAAGGTAATAATGCATCATACAAGTTAGAGTAGGTAATAATATTGTTATTATTACTTAGAGCAGCTGCTTTTATGAACTATGCACTTAGCACTATTTTTATACTTGTATATTTTAAGTGATTTTGAGGTATAATACACTGTACACATGAAGAAAAGAAGCCCAGATAAATTAGTAAGATGGGAAAGATTTACAGATAGTAGGTGGTAGACTTAGATTCCATAAACAAGATAATGAAATGTTGAAACGGCAACATAATACTGAAAAGATTTAATCAGGGAGATTTAAATATGGAGTCCCACTAATGGAATATTGAAACTCTCCTTAGAACATTTACAGACTGACCAGAATGGTGATAATGGAGATATTAAGGAGTAAAGGATAGAGAAGGGCAAGATTTCTATGAGATTTTTAGAAGGAAAGAAAAAAATAGGACTTGATGACTAATTTGATAGGATATGGGAAAAGTAAAGATGACTGTAGTGTTTTACACACTAATGAGTAGAATGGTGAAGCAGTGTAGGGTGATCTTAACAGGTTCATCATCTCTGGGCACTGAGAGTGCACTGCAAACATTTCTCTGTTCTTGGTTCTCATCACACTGTCTCTGTAACCAGCCGTTTATGGATCTCTCTCCCATTAAGTCTGAGCTCCTACGCCTCATTATTTATATATGCCCAGCAGGCAGGACAATAGTCAAGTCTTCCACGAATATCCCTTTGGAATAAACTTTAAAGATATTAACACAGAAGTGCTCAACAAATAACCACATATGACTCTTGATAGGAAACTGGAAATGGGCAATGGACATTTTACTACCAGTTTGTAGAAGTAGATTTTGATTATCAGAAAGAAACAACTCAGCCATAAAGAACGAGAAATTAGAGTCATTCGTAGGAAAATGGATGCATATTGAGGATATACTTGTAAGTGAAATAAAAAAGTCACACGTGTAAATACTGAATAGTTTCTCTGGTATGAAAAACTGTAATTATAAATAAGATCCTAATGGTATAATTGACAATGCAAAATAGGAAGAAAAAGGCTAAAGGTGTAGGGGAAGTGGAAAGGGGAGGGGAGAGGAAATAAGGGAAAGAAAAAATATGAGAAAATGAAAAAAATGGAAAGAAAGTCTTTGTAAATTAGGAAGGGAGGAGGGGGTGAAGGGAGAGCAGGGGTATGGGGAAAAAATGAGAACCAAGACCTGTCATGTAAAGTACAAGATCCCAATGATGAATGTAACTGTACTGTATACCTAATATGTACCAATAAACTCAATGAGAAAAAAAATAAGAAACAATATTTGAAATCCTGAGAGCAGGCTAATATTTTGAGAGAAAATAATGAAAGAGACAAAATTGAGAAGTGAGGCTTAAAGAAAACAATGAAGGCCAAAAGTAAGAAATCTTTAGAAACAGAATTGAAAGAGAGATCTATTTAAAGGAATGACTGATCAATAATATCAAATGCTAAATATTGAAGGAGTTTCTAATGGCTTGCAAGGATTAAGAGGGAAATTTATGTCTTTTATTACTCATTTTATAACTGTAAAATATATTTGAGATGGTACAGGTGCAATAGTAATTAGAAGATTTATTTGGCATTAGCTTTGATTTCCTTTTAATAAATTGTGTATATTCCTCAAGGGACAATAAAAAAATTTCCACAACTAATCAGCTTAGATGAAAATAATATATTAAAATGAGTTATTTATAAGCTATCCCATTTAAATCACTCCAGTGTGGAATACAAATAAACAAACAAAATTTACCATTTCAACATTCATGCTAACTATGGTGTTAGATCTTTTCCATTAAAGATCGCTGTTCCTAATCTCTCAGCATTTCTTCCTTTAGACAAAAGATTTTGGATGGATCCTGAAGTCATCTGGGAGAAATTTGGGAGAGTGCCTATTTTGCTGTCTTTTATTTGCATTTGAAATATTTAATATCCAAACATCCTTAATGTATTGAATTATGAAAACTGATTCCAAACATCCTTACATATATTATTTCATAAATACAATTTCTTTGTTGCTGTTCTTTTTAGGATATGTGCTGCCGAAGTGAGCACAAGTTGCTGTTCTTTTTAAACAATCGCAAAAGACCTCCTTAGAGAACTTTGAACTCAGACCATTAAAGAGAAAGAATAACTGAAGTCATTAGCATTATAAGTACATTATTCTTATAATGTATCATAAGAATAAACAATAGAGGGCTTTATTAGGTTAAAATATGCCATATCTACCCAGTTGTTTTATAACATAATTGATGCATTATAAGAAGTGCTCTCTTTCCCTGCATTCTGGAGTGCACATTTCTGCTCAAACTCAGAACAGTAACGCTAGAATGATTGTCTTTCAATGTTTCAACATTTAAACTAGGATAACATCTTTATGCCTAAAAGTGGAAGTTTATAAAACTTAGAAGACAGAATAAAATCTAGATTTTATATATAGGCAAAGAAATAATTAATGATATGAAGGGCAATAGAAAAAAATGCCAGAAAGACAAGGAAACAACATACTAAAAGCAGTTATGATATATGGGATATATTGTGAGGCTTCAAAGCACATTTAAAAGTAAATTTACAAGAAACAAATAGAAGGAATAGAAAAATATATATTTAGAAAGGTGATAATCCACAAATATTCAAAAAGCCAGAATCTTCACTTTTAAATCACACCTTGAGTAGTGGAACAGGGTAAATAAATGTGAAGTCATATCAAGT